CGTCATATTTCTGAGGGAATTCTTTGCAAAAGTTTTTTAACGGGTTAAAGTTTTTTTAAAATTTTTAAGTAAGATGGGAATCATCCAAGTTTTGGGAGAAAAATTTTTTAATTGAATAAGGGGGTTTTTTTTTGTCCCCTTTGAATTTTTAAAAGTATTTCCGTATAATGGTTTTTCCAAAAATTTTCATCGGTTTTTAGAAATAAAAGAATTTTTCATTCTGTGTAAAGCTGTGTCTGGGATCTGTCTTTTGGGGAAAATTCCACAAATTAAGAAAACGAAGGAAAATTCCCCCACAATTTGGAAAAAAGTAAAAGCAAACTCCCTGAGGGTTGAACAAGGTCGAGCCTCACCCAGAAAACCACCCCCCAACCCTAATTCCTTTCATAGAACTCTGGCACCCAAAACAATCCAGGCATCTATTGAATCAGGTTTGAGATTGTGCATGATAGCCTCAATTATAAACGAATCTAGCTTGAATAACCCAAAACTACCATTAAATAACACAAGAAACATAAGAAAGAAGGAACACTGCAGCAGGCCTACTGGCCCATGGGAGGCTTAAGCCAATGCCCCAACCAAGTCAGGTCAGGTCACATTCACTTAAGGAAGGAACACAGCAGCTGCCCTAGTAACACAAGCTAATCAGGTCCAACTCACACCCACTCATGTATTTATCTAAATCAGTGGTTCCCAAACTTTTTCAGCTTGTTACCCAATTTAACATGCCACATAAAGCATGTTACCCCTTTCACAAAATGTTGTTATTATTGATATATATCGCTAAACGTGAACGTATACAGCCTCGCATACTCTGCTAATCCTAGCAAAACCATTGAAAACGTAAGAACCACACATACATTATATATAAAATTAATAATAGCTACAAATTCACAGTAACAGTGGGTAAATACTAACTATATACTGCACAGGGCAGTACACATACATACCAGCTTATGTCTACCTCGGCTGATGCTCACAGATAAACTGACAGTGTGAAATAGAGGCAGCCTCAGGAAGTGAGTGACGCGTACTGGACAGGTCGATCTGGGCTACTGAGTGACTTTTGTCCTGAAGCATACTTGTCAAAATACTTTTGGGTTTCCACACACTTAGCTATATATTTCTTCTTTTCTAATACTGTATATTAGTTTTTGATGTTTATTGTTATTTGGTTTAACTTTATTACTTACTTATAATAGGTTTACTTTACAACTTTATATACTAAGACAAAGTTAACAATAATCCTCATACCGGGTACCGCATTGTTTTCTTGATTTTCAGAATTCATAACTTTTTTTCTGTCACCCATCCATTACCCCCCAAAAATGGTTAAATTACCCCCAGGGGGTAATTTACCCCCAGTTTGGGAACCACTGATCTAAATAATGCAAGTTTATCTTGTTTAATAATTGTAGACTCAAGAATATTTATCTCTAGCCATGAAGTACATGGGACAATGGCGTTTGCCTCAGACCTCATAGAGGGATTATTGCCAACTCGTGTGTGGTTGAATATCACGTTAGATTCTTGAGCCGTCCTTATTGAGCACTGGTGTTGTTGGGTACTAAATATTTCCCATCTCTCCTCCTACCTTCAGTCTTAGCAAAGCGTTTGCAACAATCTGATGAAATTTTCTTACTAATTTCTGCAACTTTGCAACTCCTGATGAAGTGTTGATTGCAACACACGAGAAGCCTAGAGCTATTACTAATTAAACTCCCCCTGTGATTGTTTTGCATTCTGTCTCTTGTTCGCGATTCTTGCGCACGCGCGCACACACACACACACACACACACACACACACACACACACACACACACACACACACACACACACACAGCCAGGAGCTATGAATCGACCCCTGCAACCACAAATAGGTGAGTACACACACTTGCAGTGTTGCAGAAACAGGAAATCCAAGCAAATTTGTTCAGGGGAACGTTGTTTGCTTGAATGACGTAGGGAGGCAGGAGACGCTAAGTTCCCGAGGCATACCAGTGCACAGTGCCAGAAAGATTGAATTTTAAAACATTAGAAGACAGCCAGCAATCAAATACTGATATTGTAGTAATTACCTAATGTAATGTAATGTAACAGAAGTGACTTGATAATTATAAAAGATTCGGCCCGAGTTCGATATGATATAAAAGACTTTACATTCTGAATATAAATATATCTGGCAATTATCAGCAGCCATATTCATTGTCCCTTTCTTCCCTTCGCTTGAATGGAATATTGTAGAATGGGCTCTGGTGTGGTCTTGACCACCAGGTCTGGTGTGGTCTTGAACACCAGGTCTGGTGTGGTCTTGAACACCAGGTCTGGTGTGGTCTTGACCGCCAGCTTAACCGCCAAGTCTGGTGTGTTCTTGACCACCAGGTCTGTTGTGGTCTTGATCACCAGGTTAACCACCAAATCTGGTGTGGTCTTGACCACAGGTCTGGTGGTCTTGACCGCCAGGTCTGGTGGTCTTGACAACCAGGTCTGGTGTGTATTT